ATTCATTCCCCTACAGGCCATGGTGACCCTGTGATAGGAGCCTCTCGAACCTCTCTTCTGCATTTGTGGTATTTGTTTCATTTTGTTGCAGCCCATGCCATTTGGGAAAACTGAAGCCCACTCTTGATGCTAGGTTCCCATGAGGCAGATGCTATTAGAAATAGTTTACAGACAAGAAAAATAAGCCCCCAGGAAGATTAGTGATTCCTCTAAGGTCATACGCTCTTAAGTAACAAAGCTGGGAGGCAAAGCCAGGTCTGACTTCCAAACCTATGCTTTCTTCCACTTTGATCCTTCTGAGTATCTCCTTAAAAGGAAGCTAGGAATTGGACAATTAGCAGACAGAGGTGCTCTTAGGATGCAATATGATGTAAGATAATTTGAAACACCAAAAATATGACTAATATTAGTAACAAATCAGCTGTGCTCATTCTTTGGATCCGGTAATTTTAGTACCCGAGTTTTGATGTCATAAAACAGAAGTAAGACCTTAGTACCCCTGTGACATACCAGACACCCAATCAAGAACAAGTGGGATGCTGGTCATGCACATATACTGTTTGGCCCAAGGCATATAGTTATGTGAACAATCTAAGGTCCTTTAGATGAAAATCGATCACATAAAGAGACTTACATACAGAAACCCAAGTAGAGTCACTTGTTGCAATCAGAAGAACCCATTTGTGATCTTAATGATGTAACTAACACCACACATAGGTAATTTCATCAGATTTAGAAGACTTCGAGATACAGTGTTCAGGGGCCATTTATTGGTAATTAGTGAAATCTCTCCAAAGTTCCAGGGCTGCTTTTTGAGGAGTTACTAGAGTCAGTTTAAAATTTTTTTTTCTTTTTTTTTTTTAATAAAGACCAACTGGTACTGCTGCAGGGAGAGGAGCCAGGTGTACTTTCTGTGCCTGTGACAGTGGGCAGAGAAGACCTCGGTGAGGTGCTCTCTGTAAGACAGGCAGAATGGGGTAGCTCATTGATGGACCTGATCTTTGACTTAAAAAGGCAAGGGAAAAAGATGTAAGAACAGAAAAAGGTGAAGCCCACTCTCCATCTTATCGAAAATGGGTGTGCAGCAGGGCCCTGTTCTCTAGTGACTCAAAGCCAGCAAGGCTCGGCTCAGATGGCATTCTTCATTTAACACTTGAGGAATTCTTAGGTCAGGTGTAGTGTGGGTCACATCTGTAATTTTAGCACTTTGGGAGACTGAAGTGGGCAGATCACTTGGCCCAGGAGTTCGAGACCAGCCGGGCAACATGGTGAGCCCATCTCTATAAAAAATACAAAAAGTAGCCGGGTATGATGGCATGCACCAATAGTACCAGCTACTTGAGAGGCTGAGGTGGCAGGACTGATTGAGCCCGGGAGGTTGAGTCTGCAGTGAGACTGCATCACTGCACTCCAGCCTGGGTGACAAGAGTCTCGGTTTCAAAACAAAAAACTTGAGATCTGTTCTTTTAAAAAGATGACAATGTTTGTAGTTATTCAGCTTTGTCACCTTTGAAAAGTCATGAAGATTTAACTCACTGAGCCATGTTTACTATATGCCAAGATGTGAACATAGTTAAGAACCTTGCTCCAAATTTCCAGAAGCTGTGCTTACCGGTTATGTGGCTTTAGCAAGTTATTCCCCACCCCTCCAAATGTTTCCTCCTTTGTAAAACAGGGATACTGTGATCTGTCCTACCTCAATCAGCTGTTACTAGCAAGGAAACTGGAAAATATGGCAGATACCTGTGATGAAATAGTTATCAACAGGGCATGATCCTTTTGGCAATTACAGTTCACATACACCGCTACTACTTTTTGTTTAAAATTGCTAGATTGCCTCGCCTTCCATTTTCAGACAATCTAATCATCACTTGTTTGAAACCTGAGTCAAGCACTGTGAAAGTATTTCTTAAAATAATTATCACAGGAAGGAAAGCAGACTGCATTTTATAAACAGGGCTAATAGAATAATCTTTGAGTTTTAAAAAGGGATGACAATGGCAGCTTATTATATACAGTACCTACTATGAGCTGGGCAAGGTTCTGAGTGCATTTACATACGTGAATTCACTTATTCCTTCCTCATACTCACGCTGCACAATGGGCAGTTATTATCCTCATTTTCAGATGAGGAACCAGAACACAAGTGCTAAATGTCAGTCAACTTGTGAATCCAAAGAATCTGGTTCCAAAAAGTTGAGTTCTTAACCTATTTATTGCCCTTCAGAAAGTCATATGGGCCAGGCATGGTGGCTCACACCTGTAATCCCAGCACTTTGGGAGGTCCAGGTGGGCAGATCGCTTGAGCCCAGGAGTTCGAGACAAGCCTGGGAAACATGGTAAAACCCCCTCTCTACAAAAACCTACAAAATAAGCCAAGTGTAGTGGTGCATGCCTGTAGTCCCAGCTACTTGGGAGGCTGTGGTGCGAGAACTGCTTGAGCCTGGGAGGCAGAGGTTACAGTGAGCTGAGATTGCGCCACTGCACTCCAGCCTGGGCAACACAGTGAAACCCCATCTCAAACAAGAACAAAAACAAAACCAGTCATATGTGTAGGTAATCCACATTCCTATTATTTTAGACAAAGATTTCCAGGTGAAAGCCATGCATTTTGATCCTAACTATATACAACTCTTCTACTCCATTCTCTGGCTCTGTGCAACTAATTTTAAAAGCTGGTTTAAACACATTTACTCAAATCTTTCCTATTCAAAACTTATAGATGAATCCTCAAAAAAGAAAAGGAATGAAGGGAAAGTAAGGGAAGGAAAATGGAGATGTTTATTTTATAGGAAATAAAGCTAATTCAAATGGAAAAACAAGTTATATAAATTCCTAAAACTGCTGCAGAATGAATGGAAACATAGGAAATAAACTCCGATTTTAAAAATTAGCCGCTAAAAGCACTATTTTATTTATTTTTGAGACCGAGTTTCACCCTGTCACCCAGGCTGAAGTGCAGTGGCACGATCTCGGCCCACTGCAACCTGCGCCTCTGGGGTTCAGGTGACTCTCATGCCTCATCCTCCTGAGTGGCTGAGATTCCAGGTGCATGCCACGCTGATGTTTTTGTATTTTTAGTAGAGACAGGGTTTCACCAGGTTGGGCAGGCTGGTGGTCTGAAACTCTTAAGCTCAAATGATTTACCTGCCTTGGCCTCCCAAATTACAGGCATGAACTACCACACCTGGCCTAAAAGCATTTTTTGAATTAGATTACATCTTCAGAACATTGAAATTTAGTATATTTGGAAGAAAAATAATTAGATATGTCAAAATTAAAAGCAGAGAGAAAGATCTGTCAGTGGACTTTTAAATGTGTAAAGCTATGTAACTTTCACCCAAAAATCAAACAGCAATGTAATTATTAACAATTTAGGTAACCTGTACTGCTTACCGCTAAAACACTGCTACTAGCATGAGGGCAATCAACATTATTGCATTTAATAAGTAATGACGAACAGCAAAACACACAATATACTCTTTAAAAAATGTTTCAGTGAAGCTCTTCACCATTTTGACTTCATGTAATGAGGTGTTTGTTCACATTTTATATGCCATTTAAACTTATGGAGTTGTTGTAGAAGGAGATGGCAGTGATAAAAAAAAAGATTATTTTTGAAAAACCACCAAGTATCTCCTCCAACTCCCAATGTACAAATTAGTGTGATTTCCATGCTTACTTCCTCTCAGCATGCACACACTAAAGCTAATTCAAATCAAAGATTTTAAAATTATATGCAAACACTGTAGATTTTTACCCTCTATCAGTGCTGACTCTTGGAGAGAGGCCTTGGCTACCATCTTAGGGATGTGGGACACGCTTTAATTCTTAGGACAAACACTAGAAGACTAGAAAACAAAGTCTCAAAAAATACTAGTGTCAGAGCCTGTCAGAGTGACCTTGAGCTCGTTTAGCAATAGATACCAACTTTCCATGTGAGGGTAAAATTAAGTTATTCAGTGTGGCTCAGTCAGACATCTTGGACCCGCTGGGTTACTGGCATGTTATTCAAAAATCTGTAACATTTATTTGGAAAACTTTTAGAAGGAAGATATGGGTCTGTAACTTGATTCATCTCCTACACATCTTTGATTTTAAAATGATTATTACCTAAACGCAGGACAAGAAAGTAATTTCATTTCATGGCTTGTTTTTCCCCTTTTCTGTGTTCTGACAGCAGCAGTCGCTTTCATTCATTAGAAAGGAAAATGGTAAAGCAGTGATCTAGGTCTACACCTACTAAGCTTACTGAACCGTAAGTTGGACTTACCCATTCACTTCATATCTCCCCCAAATTTTAAGCAAACTGGGCGTTTTCTTTTAGTTCAGCAATTTAAATGTTACTTTATGAATATAGTACTTTATAATTCACGATGATGAAAACTTCAACAAAAGTAAAAACTTGAGGGCAGCATCCAAAGCACTCAATGCTAAGATTTCATTATCGTGTTTTGTTTTGTTTTTTTTGAGACAGTCTCACTTTGTCGCCCAAGCTGGAATGCAGTGGCACTATCTCTGCTCACTGCAACCTCTGCCTCTGGGTTCAAGCGATTCTTCTACCTCAGCCTCCTTAGTAGCAGGAACTACAGGCACACGCCACCACATCCAGCTAATTTTTTGTATTTTCAGTAGAGACGGGGTTTCACTGTGTTAGCCAGGATGGTCTCGATCTCCTGAACTACCCACCTCGGCCTCCTAAAGAGCTGGGATTACAGGCGTGAGCCACTGTGCCCAGCCATGTCTAGTATTTTTAAATAGGATTTCTATCTGCTCTACAGAAGAATGGGTAAAGCCAGCCCTTAAACCACTCTTGATAGTTCTAAGTGCTACTTACCCAAGTAACACTTGATAATCGTTATTAGGTTTAACTTTACCAGCTTGAAACAATTTACAGCTGTCTTGAAGTATACTTAGGGAATTTATTTAGCTGATTTAAGGAGCTAAGTCAGTCAATATCCAACCATCTCGAAAGCTCCCTTCCAAAGTAATTTTCAGTCTTTACATTTTAACTGTCATTGTTTATTACTGTTTTGGCTATATTCTCTACAATTTCAGCAGCATTTTAAAGAGACAATGTGTCTATGTACAATGAAAAAACAAAATGGCTTGCAACATCAGAAATACAGTTTAACTGTACAATATTAAAGATAATCCGTGGTAAGTATAACCTCCTTTTTCTGCAACATGAACAACTTACATGTTAAGAATCAGCCTTATGAATGTGACAATAAGGAAAAAGTCCTTACAGGAGTGAAATACAGCATCCTGAAAAATATTGGTTTCTACCCTACGAGGCAGTTAGAAAATGTTCACATTTTAACAAAGCTGTACAAATCACAAGAAACTTGTTTATGGGACCATCTTCCTGATAAGAACTTTCTAGAAATGTAGAATAACCATGAACAATTTATAAATCTAGTATCTATGTGCTCCACAGCCCTAGAAGCCAATTAACTGATTTAAAGAACTCAACATATCCAACGTGGATCATTTTTACATCTTGATTGTTAATGAATGTCTGCTTTTTAATATCTCTGATGTACAGTCAACTTGCACCTTCTAGGAGGTCATTTAATTTTTTAGCAAAGAAGCAACATCATTTAGCAGCAATTAGAGCGCCTTCAAGAAGACTTAAAAAAAATACAATATCCAATTAGAAAAGCCATATTTTAAACATTTGTACAAGAATAAGCTGCTGAAACTTAGTAATTGAAATATGACATCTGTACAACAATTTACAATAGAGCTAGAAGGGAATTTATCATTATCCTGCATAGAACTGGTCTGCATTTGGTTACATACTGTCACCTGTTTTGATGAACAAGGCCTGGTAACAAAAGAAAAATACCTGTTAGCAATTCTAATGTGTTGAAAACACTGGCAATATTACAATTTAGTGAATTCAACTGATTTCAAAACAAGCAGCTCACTTTGCCCAAGGTGTAAAGTATTTAAAAACAATAGTTCTCCCTTTAATATAACCAGTGAAAGAAAACGGACATGTGATTTCGAGGTACAACTTGGTAAAGACCAGAATAGGCAAATGACAAAGCCTAACTTCGTCCAAAGATTCTAACTCTCGCATTCTATTACTATAAAACACAACTGTCACTGTCATTCAGTTCTTACTTTGGTTTCAGCAGATTAACTGCCAAATGCTGAAGAATGTATCCAGGCACTGTAATTCGTGTGTTAGAAATATGTCTCATATTTTTCCATGTGTTTTTAAATAATGAAAAACTACCCTTCATATTAGAACTCTCTAGTAACAACCAAATGTATTTAAGTATTATAAACGTTATTTACAGTGTTCCCCCAAATGAAACAAAATGTGTTTTCTTCTATCTTAACATGGTCTTCCTGTTTCTGTTTAACAGGCAGTCATCCTTCACTGCTCAAAATTATAGTCAGAAGTGTGCATTTATTCACTGTCCATGATCCACTCTCATACAATGACACTATGAGGAACTTTCAGTTCACAAACAGTTCTTAATCATGTCTTACGTAAAAAAAAAAAAAAAACAAAAAAACAGTCAAATGCTCTCAAACTCAAGTGTGCATCTGGAAGCAATTCAAAGATATCATGCCAATCTTGGAGGAAAGTCAGTAAGTAATTATGCTTGAAGAAGGGGGGGTAGGGGATGCTGTCAGCCCAGCCATGTGTAGGTTTCCTGAAGAATTCGATCTTCTCATGTGTGGGAGAAGGTATGGGTCATTTGCCAGCTGGTGCACATCAAATCGATCTTCTTTTCGATAGGCCAAACAGCGTCTTATAAAGGCCTCAAAAAGAGAAAGAAAAAGTCAGCAATTAATGATCTTTTTCCCTTCTAAATATCAATCAACTGAGTCAACAGAAGGATGGACACATTTAAGACGTAAGTAGATTTCATTTTATTGGAAGTTCAAACCTTAAATATTCTGTAGCAATAAAATTCTCACTCCAAATGCAACTGACCGCTTAAGGCCCCTACAGCAGTTCACTTGAGAGTCATTACTATTGCACCCATTTGAACTTTACGCTGGAAAGTTGTTTCCGCTTATGAAATTCTGAAGACTTCTTTTTCTAGCATTTTTCTTCTGCTAAACAGTCCTCCCACCCTCATCCCATTTTATCACTTCAGTTTAGCAAAGGGTAAGATGCCATTTTCAGCTATAATATTTTTTCCTGCTGACATAAATACTTTCTTTAGATGAAGAGACCACTGAAGTGACACTTCTGTTAGGGATTTTTTTTCTCAGGTTAACCCTATGCATCATTACACTTCTGGAAAAGCTAAATAATGGAATACAATCACTTTTTTTTCTCAAACCAATTTTACTTAGTTTTTCCTTGAGAATAGCCTCTTAAAAATATATATCTTTCCTGAATTGTAACACATTTTTAGAAACGCACGCAAATCCTAAGTACACATCTACTTAACTGGCAACCAGATCAAGAAAAAGAACCTCTGAATCCCCCTCATGACAACTTTCAGGCACTGGCTTTGTCTTCAGTTGAACCTGGGTAAACTTTATCTTGACTTCTAATACCATAGTTGAGTTTTGCTTGTTCTGAATTTCACTTAAACAGAATTATAAATTATGTTCTCCTTTTTGCCAGGCCTCTTTCATTCAATATTAAATTTTGAGGTTCATCCTATTATATTTTTTCAACAGATAAAATATTATCAGGAGATAACTGGTAATTGTTTTCCTTTCTTACTGCTGACACTATAAATTAATATACACCATTAAACAGAAGTATAATCACATTAAAAATTAACTATTTTGCACTTCCTTTGCTTTCAAATTCAGAGAAGTAAATTTTTCCCTAAAAATATACCTAGCTATTCTAATTTTATCATAACTTACTGTTTATCAGAAGTCAATCTGATCCCTTAGAGGTCCTATCTTTTTTTTATCTTTAACAAAGTTTCAGAGAGCACTTTGAAAAATAAAATGAAGAAAAACCATCAAGACTGATATGTTAGAGTTTGAAAAGTAGAAAGGCTATCATTATCAAGGTTAAGAAGTCTGCAACAAATAATGTACTTAAAGATGCCCACCCTGGGAAAGTACGTGGCAAAGATATATTCTGTAGGGATACAGAAAACGGAATGTAGGGATATGTTACATTATAATATTAATAGGATATACATTACATAATTATATCCTATTAATATTATATTCCCCCCAAAAACCCCTTAACCCTTCTTGGATTCCAGATCTCAAAAAGGTGACTGTGGCATCTATAAAGAGCCTAAAGACAGAACCAGAGATGGCTCAGTGAGACTCTGCCTTTGGCAATTCCACTCCTCCTGGCCTTTTTTCTCAGTATTTAAAAAAAAAAAATAGATCTTGCTTTGATGAAATTCATTTAATTCCTGTTCTCAATGATGCGGTAGACAAAAGACAGGATTTAGATGCTAGTACGGTTAAAATATTTTTAAAGTAGTCATGTTTATCTTAAATAATTCCTTATGCTTTAAAATAAGAATTTTTTTTTTTTTTTGAGACAGAGTCTTGCTCTGTCATCCACACCAGAGTGCAGTGGCGCAATCTCAGTTCACTGCAACCTCTGCCCCTCTGTCTCAAGTGATCCTCCAACCTCAGCATCCCAAGTAGCTGAAACTAAAGGTGCAGGCGCCTACACTGGGATAATTTTTGTAGTTTTAGTAGAGATGGGGTTTCACCATGTTGCCCAGGCTGGTCTCGAGCTCCTGGGCTCACGTGATCTGCCTGTCTGGTTCTTCCAAACTGCTGCGATTACAGGTGTGAACTACCACACCTCACCTATTTGTTTTTTTGAGACAGGGTCTCACTCTGTCGCCCAGGCTGGAGTGCAGCACTGTCATCATGGCTTACTGCAGCCATGCTCCCTGAGCCCAGGTGATCCTCCCACCTCAGCCTCTCAAGTATCTGGGACTATACATGTACGCCACCATGCCTGGCTAATTTTTTATTTTTTGTAGAGAATGGATTTTGCCATGTTGGTCAGGCTGATCTTGAACCTCAGGGCTCAAACAACCACACACCTTGGACCCCGCAAAGTGTTGAGATTCTAAGCATGACCCACTAAGCCTAACCTCTTTTTTTAAGAGATGGGCTCTCACTATGTTAAGGCCAGGCTGTTCTTGAACTCTTGGCCTCAAGCAATCCTCTTGCCTTGGCCTCCCACAGTGCTGTGATTACCCACCATGCCTGGCCTATATTTATCTTTTTAAATTTCAAAATGTTCTAACCACCATTCAAATAATTTACAAAAAAAACCAATAAAGATGTAAGAGACAAAATGGAATGCTGGATAGTTCTAATAATTAGTGAGATTATACAAAACCCAAAATGTTTTTAATTAAGTAGGCTACTATGACCCCAAACATCTAGCAGTATTATCTGCACTATGTAAGAATAATATAGAAATGATACAGTATCTATTTATGAATTATTATGGCCTACATTATTCACTCTAGAAAAAAATAGCAGCTTCATGGGTTTGTCTTACGAATTTAACCCGGTTTAAAAATAAGACTACAACAGCAAGCCACAGAAAAGAGCTTTGTGATGAGTGTGACAGAGAAGTAACAAACACAAACAAGAAAGGCTGATAGGATGAAGGCAGGAAGATATGAAGCACCAAAAAAGTTTTGCTATTAATTAGAAATAACTATTTCCTATAATTTTATTATATAGACTTACATGGATAATGCTGTATTACTCTCAGGAGCTAATACAGAGCGGCACAGAGGTCAAGGCTGTGGATTCCGCAGTGTGGAGGAGTGGATACTTGTGAGCCACAGCTCTGCTACCTACTAGCTGGTGTGAGCCTGAAAGGCATGGCTGTTCTCTTCTTTTATAAAACGGGAATAACAAAAGTACCTATACCTCATAGGGCTGTTACAAGATAATGTATATAATAAAAGCACTAAAATAATGGTAGGTATTTTAATATTTCTTATATTTTTATATATCTCAGTATTAACATAAGCTGATAAATAATACATAAAAGGTAACGATGGGCCCAGATCTTGTGATTCTCCCTAATTTTCAAAGCAGCAGCTGATGAACACAAACAATCAGTGACCATATTTGGGTGCTTAAAAGATAAAAACCATAGCAACCAGAGGCTGATGCAGGTCCTTGCTGGACAGACGCTCTGCAGCAGCAAGTCCTGTGACTTTACTTACTGCTAAGTACTTACCTTGTGGTCAGCACAACTGATGAAAGAACAGTTACTTCACAAAACTCATTTTCAAAAATTTAATACCTTGGCTTCACTGCTTACAACCGGTTTTACAGGGAACTGGACTTCGGTGGCTTTTAATATTGTATTTTCTTGAAGAATGTCTTGTTGAGATTGATTGTGACCAAATGGCTTAAAAAAAAAAATTAAGTGTTGAAATATTTTCTCACAAAATATGTAAACACAGATATCATTTCTTTTTAAGTGAATTCCCCAAATGCAAATATTTTGTGTTCTAAAATCCTATCCTCAGTTATTTGGAAGCTGGGGTGCATTTTCATACAAACAAGGTTATAACTGAGAGCAGGCCAAGAAAGCCTATTTAATCAATCTTCAACATAGATCAAACACTGTAAAAACAAGAAAATAATGCTGGTCGAATATAAAATAAAAACAAAAAAATTTAAAACTTTATTCTGAATGTTTAAAAAAAAGAAGTCTGATTAGAGAAGAGATGAAGTAGTAATGAAAATGTCTGACAATTCCAAAGAATAAAATACTTTGTGCACGATAAGCTAATTTAAATGAAAGAGCTCTGGATGTGGAGTAAGGAAATCTGGGTGTGGCCTAAACAAGCTGTGAATTCCCACACACATCCCTTAACCCCTCTTCCCATACTGATGAAAGGATGGGGTGGGATGTGGACTAGATAACATCTATGGTAACCTGCACTTCCAATTTCAATATAAAAAGAAGTTGGGAAATAATTAAAGACTAAGTTTGATGGTATTTCCCTGATGAGCAACAGGGGAAAACTGCCCGCCCAGGCCAAACTGTGTGTGTGGGTGGGGTGAAGGGTGTAAGAGGAGGTGAAATGAATAGTGGATAGTGAAAAGTATTATCATTAATGTATTACGTAATATCAAAAAGTATTATTAATTATAATGAAAAAAAAAGTGAAAAGCAGGCCAAGTAAACTGATGTGACATTAAAATAAACTCTGATCCATGGAAACTTTAGAAGAAACAGAGAAGAAGCCTGACTTTCCTTAGAAGGATCTAAATTGACTTCAGTGAAATTCTGTAATTTAGAAGGAAAAATTCAACTTCATTTATCTCTGAAAGTTGGTAGAACTAAATTTACCTTTCTACCATAAAGACACTGAAAGAAGATGACTCCAACTGACCATACATCAACCTTGTTGGAAATCTTTGGTGGCTCTTTTCCAACTACAAAACACTCAGGAGGTAAATACCTATAGTTTTGTGGGAGGGGGAAAAAAAAAGAAAGGTTACTGCTGACAATCTGTAACTTAAAATCTGCTAAGTATAACATCTTAGAACACGAATTTTATCCATACATAAACATTAGGACTCCCATCAGTGAAAATCATCAACTGAACTTCTGAAACATTTACATTCTTTTATCATTTAACTCTAGAGCCAACACACAATATAATAAAGTTCATCTATATATATAAACCTACACAAACAAAAACTTAAGAGATTACAGTGGTCTAATTTGGAGAAGCAAATAATAGAAGAAATCCTCTCCCATTCTCTTTAACCACTGTTCTAACTGTAGGCACTTCCCTCCCTAAAATATACACCTGATCACGTGGTTCTTTGGTTCAAACAACCTCTACGGCACTTACTGCCAACAAAACCTTGTATCTCTTGTTTGTAACACAAGACTCATAATAATCTGGCAACAACATAAATTTTCAAAATCTGCACACACTATTTTCCTCCACCCCAACCCACCAAATTGGCTAGTCAAAACCAATTCACCCATGTCCCCACCCAGCTCTCCTTTATCCTCTGTGCTCTTGAATATGACAATCACTACTGCCTTCCTAATCACTCCCAATTACTTAGCATCTCTTTCTTCTTCAAGACCCACCCAAACCCGATAAGCTGTCTTTGCTTCTCCCCAGGTGGCTCTGCTTTTCTGTTACTACAGAATGGTGCAGTGCCTCTATTATGGTATTAAAACTACAATCACACCAGACTGTGAGCAGCTCAAGGAACTCTTACTCACTGCAGTTTCAAGCACTAGCAGTGTCTGAAATAAACTGGGTATTCAAAAATCACCATTTAAAAAATATATGTCCTACTTATAAGTTCATAATTTTTTTTTGATACAGGGTCCCACTCTGTCACCCAGGCTGTAGTGGTAAGATATCGTTCACTGCAGCCTCCCACTACTGGGCTTAAGTGATCCTCCCACCTTAGCCTCCCAAATAGCTAGGACTACAGGTGCATAATACCAGCACACCCAGCTAATAATTTCTTCTTTGTAGTAATAGTCTTGCTCTGTTGACCAAGCTGGTCTTGAACTACTGGCCTTAAGTGATCCTCCTGCCTCAGCCTCCCAAAGTACTCAGCCAGTTCATAATTTTTAATGGAGAAAGGGTAAAAATCAATTTGTCATCTCCAGTTATAAGTAAAAAGATCCATCAGGTATGCAAGCATCTCACATCTCAAAAATTTAGATAAAATTCTCAAAAGGAATAATGCTGCTAAACGGGAATTTATTTTTTTTTAAATGCAGTTTTGTACTCACTATGCAAAATCAAAGATTTCAGCAGGATGTTGACAGATCTCTTAAAAAAAAGACATGAAACTTCTTTGAGGTAAAATCACCAAAGATAACCCATAACTTATTTGTAATGTAGTAAAAAGCTGGATTTATTTTATCAAAAGTGTGCATTTTATGCAGGCATCTACGCGTGTAACTGAAACAGGAAAGGCTTGTAAACATTGAGATATACTCTCCAGGAATGAGGTGTGTGCAAAGAGAGCAAACACAGAAATTGACGTCAAAGTCACCTGGGAAAAAATGTCCACCAGGATTTAGTGAATTTGAGACCAGAGAAACAAAATTAAATATTTAAAGTTTCTTAGGATGAATAGTAATTTATAAGAGCCATATTGTATGTGTATTCTAAAATACAACAGATATGTATAGTGCTATCCAAGTATATAAAATACAGTTGATCCTTGAACAATATAGGGGCTAGAGACACTGACCTATGAAGTTGAGAATCCATGTATGACTTTTTTTTTTTTTTTTTTTTTTGAGACCTGGTCTCGCTGTGTTGCCCAGACTGGAGTGCGGTGGTGTGATCACGGCTCACTGCAGCCTCAACCTCCCAGCCTCAAGTGATTCTTCCATTTTAGCCTCTCAATTAGCTGGGACCACAGGTACATGCCACTGTGCCTGGCTAATTAAAAAAAAAAAACAAAACTGGTACAGACAGGGTCTGTCTTCTGGGCAACCAGGTTGTCCAGGTTGGTTTTCAACTCATGGGCTAACGTGGTCTTCCTGCTGGGATTAGGGGCATAAGTGAACCACTATGCCTGGCCACTGTCTAACTTTTGACTCTCCCTAAAAAGTTAAAAAGTTAATTACTAATAGCCCACCGTTGACTAGAAGTTGACTTACTGATAACTTGAACAGTTAACACATATTTAATATGCTGTATGTATTAAACACTATATTCTTGTAAGCTAGAGAAAAAAACTGCTATTAAGAAAAATCATAAGGAAAAATTACTATTCATTAAGTGAAAGTGGATTATGACAAACGTTTTCATCCTTGTCATCTTCAGGTTGAGTAGACTGAGGAGGGGTTAGTTTTGCTGTCTCTGGGGTGACGGGGGAAGAGATGGAAGGGGAGGCAGGCATGCTCAGTGCAACTTTACAGACATACAATTTGTTTTTTTCCATTTATCTAAAAACATTTCTTTCTATATAGTATCAATCCTTCTTCCACCATTTGCTTTAGTTTCAGTGCCTGAAGGGTCCATGTCATAGAAGTCAAAAGCAACATCTTGACTAGGAGGAATCCTGCTGCCAGACTGCCTAAGTCAACTTGTTTTCTGGCAGTGCCTCTTCTACTACTTCTATCTCATCAACTGGCACGAGTTTGGAAGCACTCCTCTCCATCAAGTCATCTTAATTCCTCTGGAGGGGTGTCTATTAGCTCTTGAATTTCTCCAAGATCCGTATCTTGAAACCCTTCACTCCACCTTCTTTGCCATATCCACAATCTCTTTCATGATTTCCTTGATTGCCTCTGTCATAATTCCTGTGAACTCATACGCAACATCTGGAGATGGTTTTCTTTTGCAGGAATGTTACTCTTTCTGGCTTGATGGCTTTCATGGCTTTTATGGATTTTTCTAAAACAATGAAGACATCTTCAGTGGTGTAATCCTTCCGCACTTTCATGATGTTCTCTCTACTGGGGTTCTCTTTAATAGCACTGACAATTCTTTCCATAGAGTACCATGTGTACTGAGCCTTAAAGGTTAAGACCCCTTGATCTAGAGGCTGAATTAGAGATATTGTTGTGTCTGGGGACAAGCAGACGTCTTCAACATCTTCAGTGTTAAATTCATGGGCTCCCAGGTGGCTAGGGGCATTGTCCAGTATCAAAAGGCCTTCAAAAGGTAGTCCCTTATTGGCAAGGTACTTCCTGAATTCAGGGACAACGCACTGACGGAACGAATCCCAAAAAAGGGTTGGTTCTTATTGTCCAGGCTTCCTTGTTGTATAGGCAGCTGGTGTTTATCTTTTCTGTTTGAGTCTCCAGAGTTAGCACCTTTATAGATAAAGGCAGTCCTGATTATAAACCCAACTGCATTTGCGTAAAATAGTAGAGTTAGCCTGTCCCTGCCTGCATCAAACACTGGTGCTCACTTCTCTTCCTTACAAAAAAATGTCCTTTGTGGCATTTTTATTTCCAGAATAGGGCACTTCTGTCTGCATTTAAAAAAAATCTGTTCAGGCGGCTATCCTTTCTCCTGAAGTATTTTCTTAATAGCATCTGGGAACTCTTGGTTGGCAGGAGCTGCTTCTCCTGTTACCTTGACATTTTTAAAGCCAAACTTCTTCCTAAAATTATTAAACCATCCTTTGCTGACACGAAATTCTCCAGTCATAGATCCTTTGCCTTCCTTTTGCTTTAAAATTGTCATATAATCTCTTTGTTTGTCTATGAGTATCATGCACCCAAAAAGCTGCATTTCCTTTGTCCTTTTTCATTTGAGACATATTTTCCCTCTGTCACCCAGGCTAGAGTGCTGTAGTGCAATCTGGGCTTACTTTAATCTCCACATCCAGCTCAAGCGATGATGAGCCTCTTGTCTCAGCCTCCTGTGTAGCTGGGACTACAGGCACATGCCACCACATTTAGCTGATTTTTCTATTTTTACGTAGAGATGGAGTTTCGCCATGTTGCTCAGGCTGATCTTCATCTCTCAGGCTCAAGTGATCTGCCTGCCTCAGCCTCCCTCAGTGCTGGATTACAGGCATGAGCCACTGTGCACAGCCTGCATTTTCAATCAGAGATAAAAGGATGTTTTGCAAGAAGTACAAGGTTTCTGTGCCTTCTGACATAGCTGCAGTGACAGCTTTACAAATTTCTTTTTTTTAACAATGGTCTTTTTGTTGAATTCATTTATCTTGGAATGGTGGGCAACTGTGGCTGTAGACCTCACTCTATGGTACATACCAGGCAATTCAACTTTTTTTTTGGTAATATCATGATTTTTCTCTGCTCCTTGAGAGCAAGCACTTCCAGCATTACTGGTGTTATTCCAGGGTAATGGTATTGCACTAAACATGATGAAAAAATATTGGAGAATCATGAGATTACTTTTTACTGCAATAGGCCTTTTACTGGAGAGATGAAATGCTCACGTGGAGGAGATTAGCATTACAGTGTTTTAAAAAGATACTCAAAACAGTTGAGCTCCTTACAACAGCAACAAGATGTAGCTACAAAATTATTACAGTACACAGTGTGTGGTACAGTTAATTTTATGAAGTTATGATTTAATATAACATCTTTATATTTGTTCACATTTCTCTCAACTGCAAACAGCACCAGGTGTAGTCTGTATTTGTATAAATGTTTTAATAAATTTTAACTTCTTATAATAGATTTGTGTAAATTTTATGGCAGTAAATGATAAAATAGGTAAGTATCTATATGTATTTCACACCTTCATGACATACCATTTTCTTACTTTTTTCAGTATTTCTTTTATCTTTGAAGCAAAGTCTTGCTCTGTCACCCAGGCTGGGGTGCAGTGGCATGATCTCAGCTCACTGCAACCTCCACCTTCTGGGTTCGAGTGATTCTCCTGCCTCAGCCCCTGAGTAGTTGGGATTATAGGCATGTGCCACCACACCCAGCTAATTTTTGCATTTTTAGTAGAGATGGAGTTTTACCATATTGTCCAGGCTGGTTTCAAACTCCTGACCTCAAGTGATCCGCCCACCTTGGTCTCCCAATGTGCTGGGATTATAGGCATGAGACACTGCGCCCAGCCAATTTTTTCAACATTTCTAGGCTACATGGTTCATCAGTGAGTTTTTTCAAATTGTTGCAAATCTCCATAAAATTTTCCAACGTATTTAATGGAAAAAAAAAAAACCCACATAAAAATGGACCAATGCATTTCAAGCCCATGTTATTCAAGGTCACCTGTACATAGCTAATCAACTAATATGACTCTAGAAACGAACCAAGTTTTAGAGCACAGGTTTCCATGAGAAATACATCCCATGTTCCTATATAACAATGCCATTATTGTATCTCCTTTCCTGCACTGCCCTTAAAACCTAAGTTCTTTGTCCCTTGACCACCTGTAAAAGGGAAATTTCCTTGTCCTTCCCTATACCAGTGAAGCCAGAGTGAGAAAGAAACAAGTAATGAGAATGTCCTACAGAGGAAGAATAATTTATTATTTAGAACGTGGTTTTCAAGCTATCTTCCATAGAATCTAAGATTCTACCAAGATGCTTTGTTTTTGTTGGTTTTATTAGGATAAGATTTTGTTGTTAAAAAGAATGAGACTTTTTGCTAAAAGTCCAAAGACTTTAAGAATACTGATTTTCAGGGGGTTACTAATTTGAATAATTTTCTTAAAATACAAAAAAAAAAATTCATGACATTATCTTATCCATGTTCCTAGGAAATGCCATAAGCTATATTTGAAGTTTGAAAATGGCTTTAAAAGAATACATAAATATGACTAATCCCTGTTCATTAGAAGGGAAATCTATACAGACCAGTGGCATCATGTGTAATGATGTACTCAGACCGTGTAATGACTGTTCTGGAAAACCTGAAGTCACATTTGTGTTTGTAGTCACAATCCTATTTCAATGAAGTTGAATGCAGTTATCTTTCTTTCCATTAAAGTGTCATTCTTTTTTGCTAAACTAATTTTCTCTAAGAACCAAGTTTGTTTTGAAATTTTATAGTTATGTCCTCCACTTTGGTGAATTTAACAAGTTTGAAAATTGACGCTGAAGTAGTTTTTGAGAACACATAGGTATACTGAGTGGATGACAGTCATTTAGATTTATGTCTATGAATCTGTGACTATATCTAAATTTAAATCTATACATAACAAGTCTTTAAAAGGGATTTTTGAAAGTCAATCTTCCACAAAAACTACAACCAACCAGGTACAGTGGCTCATGCCTGTAATGCAAGCACTTTAGGAGACAAAGACAGATTACCTGAGACCAGGAGTTCAAGACCAGACTGGGCAAAAAATTAAGACCTTGTCTCAGCCAGGCACAGTGGCTCATGCCTGTAATCCCAGCACTTTAGGAGGCCAAGGTAAGCAGATTACGTGAGGCCAGGAGTTTCAGACCAGACTGGCCAACATGGTGAAACTCTGTCTCTACTAAAAATACAAAAAATTAGCCAGGCATGGTGGTACATGCGGGTGAGCCGAGATCATGCCACTGCACTCCAACTTGAGCAAAAAGAGTAAAACTCCATTTCAAAAAGAAAAAACAAGCCCCGAAACAACAACAAGAAAAACCTTGTCTCTACAAAAAGTTTAAAAATTAGCTGGGCATAGTGTTGTGTGCCTGTGGCCTCAGTTACTCAAGAGGCTTAGGTGGGCGGATCGTTTGAGCCTAAGAGTTTGAGGCTGCAGTGAACTAGGATCACACCACTGCCTGGGTGACGGAGCAAGCCCGTCTCAAAATAAAACGAAAATCCCTGCAATCATATAACCTCCACAGACAGGGCTTGATTGATGCTTAGTTTTTGCTTGCAATAGTTAGAATATTATATCAACCTAAGTATTTATATTTACGATAAACATCACCCTAACATTGTAGAAGAAAACCCATGAATTCTTCCTCTTAGGAGTTTTTGGCTGGCAGGTACTGAAGTCACTTGCTAATGCCAAGGCATTCTCTCTCCAGTATGCTGTTATTTGCAGTTAAGAACAGATGAGAAAAGAGGAATGACCACAGCAGTCTTCCTCTCAACTGAGAGCTTAGTATCAGTACCTTCACCACAGTAATCTCTTTTTTTTTTTTTTTTTTTGAGACTGAGTCTCGCTTTGTTGCCAGGCTGGAGTGCAATGGCGTGGTCTCAGCTCACTGCAACCCCCACCTCCTGAGTTCAAGCAATTCTCCTGCCTCAGCCTCCCAAGTAGTTGGAACTATAGGCAGGTGCCACCACACCCAGCTAATTTTTGTATTTTTAGTAGAGACTGGGTTTCACCATGTTGGCCAGGCTGGTCTCAATCTCTTGAACTTGTGATCTGCCCGCCCTGGCCTCCCAAAGTGCTGGGATTATAAGCATGAGCCACGGTACCTGGCTACCACAGTAAATCTTAATGGCTACATGGAAATAAAAGACTTAATTCTCATAAAAACACTAGGCACTAATCTAGATATTCTGATGATTTTAGTAATACACTTACCAGTAAGTGCCTGCCCCCTGGGAAGTTAGATCCATTCCATCTACACCATAGCTATCATCATCCATAATCTTGGACAGACCAAAATCAGTGATTTTGATTTCACCACATGCTGTTCCATCTACCAAAAGGATGTTTCCTAAGAATAAAATATAAGATTCTTTTAATGATGCGTATATGAAAGACAGTAATTTAATCACTTTTAATTTTACTAGTATTCTACTGATGTTTTAAAAACGAAACCAAAAAGCATGTTTTCAGATAACTTAATGAATGTCTTTTAAAAACTATACTCAAGCTTAAAAATATATTAGACAAATTTGATAATTACCTGGCTTAAGATCATAATGTATAATAGGGGGTTTGATCTCATTGAGATATCTTAGTGCATTTACAATCTGCATTACAATAGACCTAGCTTCCTTCTCTGACATTAACTTGTGTTGCTTCAGATAGAAATCCAAGTCATTGCCTTCACAGTATTCTAACACTGTACAAAACCTACAACAGAGAAGAGAAAAAAATATCAGACAAAAGTATTATCCAAGAATTCAGAATCACAATGGGGAAACAGTATTTATATCATCAACACAGGATGGGGAAAGAGAGCAAGCATATCTTTCCTTAAAAATTAAACCTTAACATTCACTTACGTATCTGTATCCAAGGAGAAATAATCATAGAGTTTAACTATTCTGGGGTGATCCAGTTCTTTGTGTATTCTATACTCTCTGCAGGCATGTCTACGGAAAGACAGTATATTAACTCTCCATGATCATTCAAAACATATTCAATTTTTAAAAACCATAAAGTAATAGTATTTACTTGTGGTAGTTTTCTTTCTTCTCATCTCTCCAGCTTTTATTAAGCTGATGTATCTTCACAGCAGCATATCTTTGTTCATAAAGGTCAAAAGCCTAGGAATTCAAGTCAAAAACAGTTCAGATGAAAGACCAATTGAATAGCTGAAGAGGCATTTTTTATTTTGGTGATAATTTTTGCAATAATATGGAATTAGGATAAACCCTAAAATTTTTAGTGATCTTCTCTACTATGACTATATATAGTTCAATGACATTTTTATTATCAGAAGCAAGATGGAAATTCCATGGTAATAAATCAGAGAAAACCTTTTTTTTTTTTTTTTTTTTTTTTTTTGAGACAGAGTTTCACTCCTGTTACCCAGGCTGGAGTGCAATGGCGCGATCTCGGTTCACTGCAACCTCCGCCTCCTGGGTTCAGGCAATTCTCCTGCCTCAGCCTCCTGAGTAGCTGGGATTACAGGCACGCGCCACCATGCCCAGCTAATGTTTTGTATTTTTAGTAGAGACGGAGTTTCACCAAGTTGACCAGATGGTCTCGATCTCTTGACCTCATGATCCACCCACCTCGGCCTCCCAAAGTGCTGGGATTACAGGCATGAGCCACCGTGCCTGGCCCAGAGAAAACCTTAATGTGAATTTTCACATTAAATTTTATAAATGCCAATAAAATGAATAAAAATAAAACAATAAAGCTATTATTTGTTTTTAATATGAATTTATTCTTCTGTATTGGTAGTAAGCAGCCAGGAAAACAGATGGTTGTATCACTTTTTTTGTGGGTTTGGTAAAACAAACTTTTTAAGTCTATCTTTTCCTAGAAACCCCCTTCTTTTCACTTTTTAGAAAAATTAACAAGTTCCTAATAGTTATTTTTACCAACTGTTGAAAAAAATTCTACAGTTATTATAAAACTGTTCAAACATACACAAAAGTAGACTACTATAATGTGCCCTTATGTCCCTACCATCTGGTTTCAAAAATTATCAATATTTTGCCATTCTTGTTTCATCTATTCCCCACTGTCCTTGCTTCCCACCCTCCCCAACCAGAGCATTATTAAAACAAATACATTGTTTTCCGCAGTAAACTCAGCAATATTTAAATAAAAATAATCATGTATCATTATCATACCTAACTATATCAGTAGTAATTTCCTTAATCTCATCAAATACCTAACCTGTCTTCAATTTTTCCCTGGTTGTCTCATAAGAATTTACACTTGATTTGTTCAAATCACCAGCCTATTTCTCAAATTAAAAACACAGAATTATTAGTGTTTTATGGCTTTACATGACTTATAAATGTTTTCCTAAAAAATATCAAATGCCATTAAAGAAGCATTTAATAATTTTTGTTCCACTGTGATTTTTACAAAGGTGCCCCTTTCACTTAAAAGCGTGCCTACTTATTAGAAAGAAGGTCCCTAGTTCCCATTCTCTCCCATCAATTTAACCTAAAAATAAGCAGGAGGCGAAAAACAGTAAAGGGACTACTTTTGTACAAAACTGTAAAAGTATGAGATCAGATATAATACAGCATGCAGTTGTTAGGAATATTCTCTTTGAATCAGATGCACCTATTAGCTGAGTGACTCTGTGCTAATACCCTCTCTGAGCCTCAGTCTTATAAAGTTAGGATTATTGAAAGGATTAAATGGGGGTTAAACCATAAGAGGTATTTAGAATAATACATGGTAAAACCAAGAAACATTAGCTAATTACATATTAAGGGTTAAGTATAAAGAACCTGAAAAAAATAAAAATAAGTTTTGTAAGAGACAAGGCAGAACAGATCTATAAAGAATTAAATTCAAACACAATCATAATAAAGGATAATTGAAGAAAACTATATACCCAATAGGATAATTAAAGAAAAAATTAAGTATATAATCAATAAAAAGTTATTATCAGTGTATACTGTTTATAATAAATTACATATAACACATCTTCCTCCCGATTTCAGGTGAGTAGAAGTATATCTTTCCACAAGGCTAATATGGCAATCACTCAGCAACTGATTCAACATCTCCCACCTTGGTATAAGATACAACTCTTAACATCTTGATTTACAATCTGCTTTTTGTCTGGTTGTTTTCCAGCAGACCTGGCAACCATGAAAGAGCTTTAAAGGGCTTAGAGAAAGATATCACTAGTATTTAGGTCAATACAGAAAGTTCAAGTCACTGGGCCTCAATCTGCGCTTTATGATCTCTATGTAAGTCTCTTCTACAAAAGTCCTACCTATGAGGCTAAAATAGTTTCTTAAAATGCAACCAGGCAGTGGCAGAGGGCTGTTATGAAGGCACATGGTAAGTTTTGTAAGCTCAACAACTTTTAGGCCGCACTAATACTAACTGCACTTTCAGTGACTTTTAGATCCCAGCTGAACTATCATGATAATCTTTTCTACCTTATAATAAGCCTACTTTCATTAAGTGCTTAAGGATGAACTATCAATAGAATCAGAGGAACAGGAATTGGAAGAGAGCTCAAAGATCACTTTTGATGAGTGAGGAAGGTGAGCCCCCTGATGTGTAATGTTTATTTAAGTTAACAAAATAACAAAAAAAGGTGTATGGTTGAACTGACAGCAGAACTGAAGTTCTCTAAATCCAAATTCCCAGAATTTTTCCAAGTCAGAAAAAGAAACCAGGTTGTGTTGAGTAAACCAAAAGGGCATAGTCTTTGTCTTGTGCAAAAGGCAGGATTTCTTTTTTTCTTTTTTTGAGAGTATCTCCCTCTATCCCCCAGGCTGGAGTGTAGTAGCGCAATCTTGGCTCACTGCAACCTCTGCCTCCCAGGTTCAAGCAATTATGCCTCAGCCTCCGAGTAGCTGGGACTACAGGCCATGTGCCATCACACCCAGCCAATTTTTTTTTTTTTTTTGGTATTTTTAGTAGAAACAAGGTTTCACCATGTTGTCCAGGCTGGTCTCGAACTTCTGAGATCAGGCAATCTGCCTGCCTTGGCTTCCCGAAGTGCTAGGATTAAAGGTGTGAGCCATAGCCAATAGGCAGGGTTTATAATAATAGTTTTATCAGCTTATTTTAGCACTGACGTTCCAGGTGATTTACCTGTGATAACTCAGTTGATCACTGCAACAACCCTACAATATAGGTATTGTTATTATTTCCAGAAGAAGACGATGAGTCAGACAGAGATTTAAGTAATAAGTCCAAATTAATAAAATTAGAAAGCAGCAGTCAGGATTTAAACCTAGCTGTCTGGCTTCGGAACTAAAGCTTTTAACCAACTATGCCAATGTATAATGAAGCATAAAGGATTACAAGGAGCTTATAAAAGGCAGACAAAATCTATCTGAGAAGATGCAGGGGGTCAGGGAAGCAAGCTGTTTAGAGAAACTAAAGGTGAGTGTGTACCCTCCACTAGGACTTCATCCTAAAAGCAAATCGGAAGCTACTGGGGCTTTTAAGTAGGAGAGATGACCAGATTGCCTTTTATAAAAAGTTAACTCTAGCTGCAGTGTACAAAATGACTTGAGAACAGCAATGCCCAAAAGAAGACAATTAGCTATGAGGTTCCGGAGGAAGCCTTGAGCTCAGAGACGGAAGGGAAGGGTCACTGCTGAACTTAGGAGAACTTAATGACATTAATAATAGCAAGAACCAGAGATTTATAATATATTAGGGGAAAGATAGAACAAAGGATGGTTTTTGTTTTTCACCTGAGGGACTAATCATGGAGATGAATGGCAATGCTATGTACTGAAGCCAGGAGCAGTGTTAGAAGGTGTTTTAGAAAAGAGGAAAATAACTTCTATTTCTAACGTGAGTTTCCAGTACCCATGAAGCACCCACATGAAGTAAGTCATGTATACAAACACACTTTTAGGTATTAAGCTCAGAAACAAAGTGTGGGCTAGATATTACCTGAGAGTGAAACCAAATAGATAACCTAATGAAGGACGGGATAAAACCCTTCTTAAGGGAGACCTTAGGAATCCAATATTTAAAGGTTTGGCTGAAAGACACGATGTAAAGTACAAAAAAATATATAAAGGTATAAAATATAAAAAAATATATAAAGGTATAAAACAGTGAATACAGGGAGTAAAAATGCCTACATTTATACATATGCATTTGAGAAACGGCCTTGAAATTGGTAGAAATTTGGATAAATTCAGGACATGTTAATAATTCAGACACATTTTTAAATAAAGGGGTACAATCTTTCTATACATGTACCGTATTAAATGGCTACCTGCCTATCTTGATTCAAATAGTTGTTACTCTTTGTATTGGACTGGCTAATGGTGACCAGGTATCAAATATCACAGGGACTGTGCAGGCAGCAAGGACAGTCTTTAGATTCTGGAAACACAACAATAAGCCACATCAAACCCTCTTTTGTAATAAGGATAGATAATCAACAAAAAACAAGTACCTCTTCTTTTTTTAAGACAGGGTCTCACTCTGTTACCCAGACTGGAATGCAGTGGTACAATCATACCTTATTGTAGCTTTGAATTCCTGGACTTGATGATACTTCCACCTCAGCCTCCTGAGCAGCTGCAGCTACATGTATGTGTCACCGCACATGGCTGATATCTTTTTTTAGTAGAGACGAAGTCTCACTATGTTGCCCAGGCTGGTCTCAAATTCCTAGCCTTAGGTACCCTCCCACCTCCCAAAGCCCTGGGGTTACGTATGTGAGCCACCATGCCCAGCCAAGATAAGTACTCTTTAACCACATACTCCTATATCCTTGCTATATCAGTGTGAAGAACAGAATAAAATTTACATTACCTTATATACTTCACTAAAGCCACCTCTACCAAGCAGATGGAGTAATAAATATCTTTCGTTTAATGTTGGATGATCTTTGAACCTTAAGGGTGGGAAAAAAGAAAACGGGCATGTTAAAACATATACACGAAAATTCCTTCTAGATTGAAGTTCTCCTCTCTTATCCTACCTACTCCTATTTATTTCTCAGGTACTCCACTGCCAATTTCAAATTTCATTCAAAATTTCTTTTCATTCTCCACCAGTCTACCTGCATGACTACCACCCATCTTTAGGCTTTGGTGCTCACAAAACTTAACTTTCATAGCTCACTATTCAGGATCAATGACCAATTATAGCACTCTCACAAAGACCTAACAATTACTGCATTGCCAGGAGCTTCATAAAATCCATTAGGTACTCAGCAGGAACCATTTCTCTGAATAAAAATAGTCTTTTGTATGGGGAGTTATAATTAATCAAGATTTTATAGTATTGGCATATAATTAAACATAATCATAAACTGGCCTTCATCATTAAATTTGACTGTCTTTGGACTTTTGTAAAATAAAATTTTAACGACCACTTTTAAAAAAGATTTTTTTAAGCTAAAAAAAATTACTCATAGACAATACTACTACTATTACTATTTAGTATTTATTATACTTGCCATATATAGGCTGAGTGTCCCTTACTGAAATAGCTGGAACCAGAAGTGTTTCAGATTTTGGATTGTTTTTTGGATTTTAGGATATCTGCATTATACTTGCCAATTGAGCATCCCTAATCTGAAAAACCAAAATCTGAAATGCTCCAATGAGTATGTACTTTGTGCATGACCTCTTAATGTCATGTCAATGCTCAAAAATGTTCAGATTTTAGAGTTTACATTTTTCAGATTTCCAAAACTGGGATGTTCAATTTGTGTGTTTTACACTCTTACCTGGATTAACTCATTTAGTTTTCAACCCACCCTTATCAGGTAGGTCCTATAACTATGTCTATTTTATAAATGAGGGTATTGCTGCACAGAGAAGTTAAGTAACTTGCTTAAGCTTAACAACTAATAAATGGCAGGGCTTAGCAGAAAAATGTGGTTCCAAAATGTACAGTTTCAAAAAAAAAAAAAAAAAATCAATGTTAGCTTTATAATTCCCAATGCAAATACAGTGTATTTTATTCAAGATCAATTGACTACAGATTTAGTAATTTAAGCTTTTTCTTGAATTTGTAAATATAAGAAATTTCTCGTTAGTTTCAAGCCACACTGGAAAGCTTTAACAACTGATTTTATTTTCATCAATCTAAGTCAGATTCACAAAATTTGAAATGTAATTTTTGGAACAGTTAGTCTTAAGATAACAGTACCATATGCTCTATTAGATTTTTTTTTTTTTTTGAGACAAAGTCTTGCTCTGTTGCCCAGGCTGGAATGCAACCTCCGCCTCCCAGGTTCAAGTAATTCTCTTGCGTCAGCCTCTTTAGAAGCTGGGATTACATGCACCCGCCACAACGCCCAGCTAGTTTATTTTTAGTAGAGATGGGGTTTCATCATGTTGACCAGGCTGGTCTCGAATTCCTAACCTCAAGTGATCCACCCGCCTCAGCCTCCCAGAGTGGTGGGATTACAGGCATGAGCCACCACACCTGGTCCCTCACTTTTTTTTTTTTTTTTTTTTTTGAGACAAAGTCTCATTTTGTCACTCAGACCGGAATGCAATCTAGGCTCACAGCAGCCTCAACATCCCTCGCAGGCTCAAGCGATCCTCCCACCTCAGTCCCCAAGTAGCTGGGACTACAGGTGCATGCCACCCTGCCCTGCTAAGTTTGTGTTTTTTGTAGAGATGGGGTTTTACCATATTACTCAGGCTCATCTTCAACTGTTGGGCTCAAGTGATTTGCCCGCACTGATCTCCCAAAGTGCAAGAATTACAGGCCTGAGCTACTACACCTGCCCTTCATTAGAATTCTGATCCAAAGGAATTTAGGTTAGTCCGTATTATTTCTTTCCCTTCATGTAATGGAATGATCTGTATATTTATGAATTACACATACACAGGTATCACAAGAAGGCCTTTCTAAGCAAGATTTTCATATTTCACACAGAAACTGGCCACTTCCTATTCTCATACTCGTATTAACTCATGAAGGTTTAAACTACATGAATGGTCTCAAAGATGAAGTATAAACAGAAACCTTTCCTTTCTTTTACGTCAACTAAATCCAAGTAGTACCTTGCTAAATTTCTACTTCTACAGGTTGCTCAATATGTATCCTTTTCATGAAGCTCCCACAAGCCTACAGATATTTTCTCTTCAAGTGCTTTAACATATACTACCTATGGCTCTCATTCTGATAACCAGGGATTAAGAAAATAGACTGAACTTGTACTTTTCCATTTCTCTCCCAATTCTTGCATAATGTGGGATACATGGCTCAATGAGATACTTTCGGTTGAAATAATTTCTCTTTCACTACTATAACATTAACTCTGGTATTCAAATATTTATTAAGCACCTGCCATATGTCAAACACTGGTCTAGGCTCCATAGATGCAGCAAGAACAAAACCAAGTCCTTGCACTCATGAAGCTTACACTCTAGTGGGAGGAGACAAATAATAACTAAAAAATAAATTTTTAATTCCAGATAGTGATCAACATCCTGAAATTATAAAGCATGGTAACAATATTAAAAGAGGAAACAAAGAGGTAGGAACTTTTTTTTTTTTTTTTAAGAAATGGGGCTCTCATTATTTTGACAAGGCTGGTCTTGAACTCCTGAGCCAGGGCAATCCTCCTACCTTAGCCTCCTGAGTAGCTGTAACTACAGGTGTGCACCGCTGGGCCTGGCTAGGGGCTGCTATTTTAAATAGGGTAGTCTACGAATGGCCTTTCTAATGAACATCTGAAGCAGGTGTCTCCAGACTTTTTACACAGGGGGCCAGTTCACTGTCCCTCAGACCACTGGAGGGCCGCCACATACTGTGCTCCTCTCACTGACCACCAATGAAAGAGGTGCCCCTTCCCGAAGTGCGGCGGGGGGCCGTAGTTTGGGGACACCTGATCTGAAGTGAGGTAAGTATTAAGCCAATTAGGTGTTTACAAGAGGAACATCCAGGCAGAGGAAATGGTAAGCACAAAACTCCACTGAGATGGGAATGCTCTCGACAGGTCTGAGGAGAGAAGTGAGGAAGGTGGCCAGGGACCAGATCATAAAAGGCCTTCCAAGCCATGGGAAGGACTCTGGATCTTTTCTAAGTATAACGAGACAACCTGACAAGGAAGCACTTTGTTTATGCTCCCTACAGGGGCAGGGTGGGGAAAGGGAGTTTTTTTTTTTTTTGAGACGGAGTTTCGCTCTTGTTACCCAGGCTGGAGCGCAATGGCGTGATCTCGGCTCACAGCAACCTCCGCCTCCTGGGTTCCGGCAATTCTCCTGCCTCAGCCTCCTGAGTAGCTGGGATTACAGGCACGTGCCACCATGCCCAGCTAATTTTTTGTATTTTTAGTAGAAATGGAGTTTCACCATATTGACCAGGATGGTCTGGATCTCTTGACCTCATGATCCACCCGCCTCGGCCTCCCAAAGTGCTGGGATTACAGGCGTGAGCCACCGCGCCCAGCCGAAAGGGAGTTTTAATAATACAAAACTGTCAAATGCAAATAATGACTTACTGTGAATTATCTTCATTGTTTATTCTTTTCAGCTCTCGTATGTGAAGATTTCTGACTCTTTCCAAACGTTCAAGTTCTGCCTGGATTTCTGCCTCTTCCTGAAAATGAAGAGAGGGGACTATAACAAGCTCAATTTATTTGTGATATAAAAAAGATAGTTTTACCCATGTATCAATTTTTTACAGTGATGGGAAGAATAGTATATTATAAAGTACCACTGAGTTAAAAGACCAAAGTGCTCTTTTCAATGCCCGAAAGATGGAAAAAGATAAGGCAAAAACCTATTTCAAGAAACCATCCTCCACATGAAAATCTATACCTAATGAGATGCTGGGTTTTATTCTGTACTACAAGAAATCTATTTTTATAATGTGTATACGAAAGGTAGTTGGAAACTGACATAAAATGAGCTGAAAATTTTATTTCTAGTCCATGCAAATTTTAATTTAAGAAGGAATAATTTACTAGTAGAAAACAAAGTGAAAATATTTTATAATAGCTAAAAAGAGGAAGAAAGGAAAAAAACAGAATGATTCTTCCTATACCTTACAACATTTGGAGTACAAATACTCACATACACACACACACACACACAGAGACAGAGAGAGGGAGAGAGGGGGGGATGGGGGGAAGGGGGGGGGAGAGGGAGAGAGAGAGAGAGAGAGAGAGAGAGAGAACACCACTCACTTGAATAATCCCACTGCAATCCTAAAGAGACATTACAACAAAAAATTTAGATTGCCGTAGTAGACTGAGTTATCAGAGCAGATGTAAATAAATCCTGAAGAAATTTAATCATTTAGCATAAATATTGATAAATTCATTTTTCTCTTAAAATATCTAACTTTTAGACTAGCCACCAAAACAAATAAACACACATATCATTCATGTCATACACACATACACATACACACCCCTTTGTCAATACAAATTTGAATACTACTTAAAAAATTGATAAGGCTGTGAAAATTCCTAGCCCAATTTCTTTTTTCACTCTGTCACCCAGGCTGGAGTGCAGTGGCATGATCATGGCTCACTGCAGCCTCGACCTCCCAGGCTGAAGTGATCCTCCTGCCTCAGTCTCCCAAGCAGCTAGGATCACAGGCATGCACCAATATACCTAGCTAATTTTTTGTAGAGACAGGTCTCACTATGTTGCCCAGGCTGGTCTTGAACTCCTTGGCTCAAATGATCCTCCTGCTTCAGCCTCCTAAAGTGTTGGGGTTATGGGTGTGAGCCACCATGCCTGGCCTAGAATATTTTTAGTACATAATTTTGAAGTAAAGAAACACAGATCACTTTAGCTTAATGTGTGCCCACTAAACCACGTGGAATAGAAGTTTTTTCTGAATAATGCACTTAAATATTTCATCAGCGCCTTTGCTTCTTTTCTTTTAGTAACTTATCTTTTGATATAAAAAATTCTTTACCTCAAAATACAACTCTGAAATTTACTTTAAAATATAAATAAATATGATCATTTCATTCAAAGACAGATAATGGAAGTATAAAGCTTATTACCCCAGTACCTAAGACAGAAATTCAGAGGAATATTTTAAGCATTATGAGAAAAAACAAATTAAATCTCTAAAGATTATGTTGTTTGTACTTCACATTACTCTTAAGGTTATTTTTATTTTAAAATGAAATTCAACCACTACTTGTTACAGGGATATTTAATGCAGATTAGATATTACATAGCAAAAAGAAAATTTCAAAATACATGCAAATGAAGATAAATCTTTCTAGAATTCTTGGGAGATTTTCTAAAATAGATACACTACACAGATTGTCTTAATTTAACTGAAATTTCCTCATTAATAGCTTCAGTCACAAATGTTTTTAATTTTAATTATAAAAAGTAAAGTGATATTCTAGGAGATTCAACAATCAAAATTTCATTATAAAAACAGAAAGTAAATGTTAAAGCTTTGAGACAAAAAACTCAAAACATGGCTTAGTTATTACAGTTTAGCCATGTAAATTAGATAAGAAATGGGCCACACAGATTTACTGTGGAGTATGAAAGAATTTAAACTGATTTACAACAGAAATCTAGAATCTAGATTCGATTCTAACCTAGACTAGAATCTAGAAAGCAATGACTTGTTTTTCCCTTCCTGCTACTAACCTTTGCTGCTTAAAAAACTTGACTCTCACACATACAGGAAACTACTAAACATTTGTTAGGCTGGTGAAAGTTTAAATAATCTGATACAATTGTGAAAAGCCTATTAGAATAAATACTTGTTTTAACTTTTATTTGAAATTGTGGCATGGGGAGATTATTTCAACAGTGAATTTATACAAGTTAAATTTTACTGAGTCATAAATATGTATTACAAGATACAAACAGGTTATTGATGAACATAATTACATTTGTCTTATAATCTTCAGATGTCTATACAATGGTAGTAATCAATATTACAAAATAAATACTTGTTAAAGAAAGCAAAATGTATGCCTGAATCAGCAAATTAAAGCAAACTTATTTTGCCTCTAAAAACATGAGAAATATGTCCCATAAAAATCTTACAAAATAAACAGCACAAGCAAATTTCAATCCATTTGAATTGTTAGGTTTACTGGGAAAAAAAACAAAATGTCAGTAGCACTAGAGGAAAAAAAGATGGATTCTGGGTATTTAGAAGGAAATGTCAAGGGAAGAAACTATGCCTTACATACAGATAGATATAAATCCACCATACTCAGTGAAATATATTTGTCTTTCTTTTTTTTTTGAGACGGAGTTTCGCTCTTGTTACCCAGGCTGGAGTGCAATGGCGCGATCTCCGCTCACCGCAACCTCCGCCTCCTGGGTTCAAGCAATTCTCCTGCCTCAGCCTCCTTGAGTAGCTGGGACTATAGGCACGCGCCACCATGCCCAGCTAATTTTTTGTATTTTTAGTAGAGACGGGGTTTCACCATGTTGACCAGGACGGTCTCGATCTCTTGACCTTGTGATCCACCCGCCTCAGCCTCCCAAAGTGCTGGGATCACAGGCTTGAGCCACCGTGCCCGGCTTTGTCTTTCATTTGTAACTTAGTATTTCACATTATCTTGGACTTCAAGCAAACTGACAGACTTCTGAGAGAAAGGTAACTCTGCTACTCTAAAAACTCTAAAAATTCCACTAAGAAAAGGTACATATATTGTAATGGGCTGAACGTGCTCCCCCAAAATTCATGTACCGAAGCCCTCACTCTCTAATATGGTAGCATTTGAAGATGAGGCCTTTGGGAGATACTTAGGGTTGGATTAGGTTATGGAGCCTTCATGATAGGATTAGTGGCCTTATGAGAAAAAAGGTCCCTCCACCCCCCCACCAAGGAGCACAGAGAAAAGGCCATGTGAGGACAGAATGAGAGGGCAGCTATCTGCAAGCCAGCAAGAGTGTCCATACCCAAAACTGAACCCTGCCTGACCTTGTCTTGGACTTCCAGAATAAATGTCTGTTGTTTACGTGCCTAGTCTGGTGTTTGTTATGGCCAACACACATACTTGTAGGTAAATGCTAGTGCAATACTGTCTAGCACCTTGTCCTCAGAGAATGGGGCAAGGTGCAGTTTTGGTTTGGCCCAGGTACAACAGTCTGAACAACTAACTTATCTTTGCTACAGATCTATCAAGTAGGCTCCATTCTCCTTGCCTGAGACTGACATTAACCTCTGGGCCATCCTCAGAATTAATCTTTTTCCAAAGGTTCAGAAGAAGAGAGGATAACTGGGCTCACAATTGATCTGAACTCATCACAGAATGGAATCCTCAAACTCAGCAAAACAAGGCCAGATGAGTAGACTGAAAGGGGACAATCCAATCAGCTAAGTTGTGCTTAGTAAGAACACCAAGTTTCAGTGCTGAATTCATACTCTAAGCAGTTAATGAAAGCAGAGAAAATCTAGAAGAAACAAAGAGACAAATAGCATTTCTAGAAATGAACTGGACTCTGTAGTTTATTACAATAAAGAAAAGACATAAATAAGAACAGACTGTTTTAGAAGGAGAGGTAGGATTAGCAACTAAATACAGAATAAAAGGACATGAGTCTTTTCTGTTTAAACAAACAAACAAAAATACAAGGGACAGTTTAACACTACATACTATAGCTATTTTAACAGTATTTTCAAATAAAATCTAATACTCTCACTCACATAAAAAGCCAAGTCAGAAAGGTATACAATAGATCTCAACACTGTCTCATTGTTTAAGTAATCTGCAAAAAACACTACCTGCTAACAGTCAAAAATTTTTAAATGTCTAATGGATGATAAATCCCACAGCAACTTAACTAAAAGACTTTGTCTCTCACCAGATCTTCAGCATAGGAATGCTTTCTATTTGTAATAAAAGTCTCCTATGGCAACTTAATATCTCTTTGTCTCAAGTCTATAAGCCAAATGTAAGCTATAACAATGTAGAATTTCTGTAAAATTCCAGGTTAAAAATGATAGGTGGTTCCTATGTGAGGGAGATGTTTTTTAAAAAGAAAAAAAAATAGCTGGGCATGGTGGCGCGTGCCTGTAATCCCAGCTACTCAGGAGGCTGAGGCAGGAGAATTGCCTGAACCCAGGAGGCAGAGGTTGTGGTGAGCGGAGATCAAGCCATTGCACTCCAGCCTGGGTAACAAGAGTGAAACTCCGTCTCAAAAAAAAAAAAAAAAAAAAAAAGGTAGGTGAATCTGGAGTATTTTGGAGCATTTCTCATAATGGCAATTTTTCAAAAGGCAATGATTAAAAGGTAAAATATGGTAGGCATTAAAAACTATAAGGCTAAAAAGTTATAAAACATATTTTTATATATAAAACCAATACATCTCCTGAAAAAATTAAACTTGCTAGTTTAAAGTTATTTAGCAAATCCTGAAAATGTGACATAGTCTCTCTACCAAAAACTCAATTTGTAAGAACTGCCTTCCCATAAAGCCAAGATAAAATATGAAATACTCTGATATATTATTCTCAGTTTGCCTATAACCTATGGGAGTTGGTAGAAGAATACAGCTTGCAACAGTCTATTCAACAGCACCATAACAACAGTACTTCAGAAAACCAGTTCAGAATGAGGTTTTAACACCAACCAGGTACAGTGGCTCACGCTT